AAATAAACCAACGACAGTATGGGCATGCCCAGCAAACAGAGATTACAAACCATGTTGCCACTGGGAAAAAGAGAAGGGACTGTGTGAGCTAGTGCAAAGTTCCTGCCAGGCTCATTCATGCAGCACCAATCCAAAGGTTAGCAGCATGGCTCTAGTACTTCACCTGACCCACATTTGGTTTCTAGAGCCAGTCAATTTTTTGTACTTAAAAGTTCAAAGGCTTGACTCTTTTTCCAGCCAAAGCAAAATCTTTCTTTCCTTCACAAGTCGCAGAAGCCATCTCTTGTGCACTGCAACACCTTAAGGATGCAAGTAATTTATGCCTTGGATTTGGTTCATTGACAAACATACATTTTTCAGGCTCATCCTTATTATTAGGTGTTATTATTTTTTATTGCAGCTGGAGAAGGAAGGAAAGATTTTTGCTTGTTTTTTTTTACTTGAAACATTCCACTTTTTAGCAAACAATAATAGCTGGTCAGTGCAAACAACAACAACTGGGTAGGGTAAAGGCAGCCACACCTTAATGGTGAAAGTCCTATAGCCACCATTTGCCAGTTCCTGGGAATAACTGAATTTGTACTTGCAGATAAGAGCCCTAGTTCAGCACAGTGGTTCCCTTAACTGGTTCAGGTTGATATAGCTGCCACCCCTTTTAATTAAGGGAAAAGAGGAAACAAGGAACTTCAGGCCCACTCCCCCATTCTGTCAGACAGGAGACTGGGGCTGTCAGTTTTGACTACGCCATCTAGCAGCTCAGTGGAGAGGTGCATGCACTCCATGAGCTGATGTGAATTTTCGGATGAGGGCCAGCTAATCCGGCATTCAAGAGAAAACAACATTTTAGCCTGGTAGGATTTTCTGAGATAATTCTGTTCTAATAGCCACCATTGTATGTGTCTTTCCTCTAGCAGTGATGCCCAAAGGAATTTTAATAAATGTATTTTCTAGCAAATGTTTCCTCTGGCAGAAATATTTTTCCCCATGCACAATAGCAGCATCAACTATACACAGCATTTTAACTATGAAAAACATTATTCCCACAAAGACTCAGGTTGCAGGTTTCCATGGAACATTGTCCAAGAAGAAACCTGGGATGAAACTCTCCAAAACACTTTCTCATATTAAAATACATATTATAGAAACATGTAAATACCAAATGGCAACAATCTGGTGAGCCCAGGAGAAGTTCTTGGTACTGGAAGTGTCAGACTATCTAATTCTATCACCTCTACCTCTAAAATACTGCATTGCCTCTTCCTATTTTCCACCTGTGGATATATCACAATCAAAATGTTTAAAAGGCATGAGATTATTTAAATTGCCATAGTTTATTCCTCCACTGATATCCTGAACCAACCTCTGGCCACTTACTGTTTGGCATGGGCCACTGATTGTGCCCCCATACTCTCTATATGAATTTGGATCCCAGAGCCCAATATGTATATCAGAGGCCAGTCAAGGCTTCTGTGACTGCAAACTACCCCATTCATTTATTAGGAAAAGAAGTTGTTCCAGGGGAGAAGTTCCATGTTCATTCAAGACTATAAATAGCTCACTGGATCCGGAACATGTTTTGCACAAAAATGCCGGCAGTATCATCCCTACATCCTCTCCAGGCAATTGACAATACTTTCATGCACATCACCCCACTAATACCAATGTTATTTTGCAGCTAGTAGTTTTTATGCTGTTACTGACTTCCGTTAAATAAGTTATGGAAGTGTAGAAACCTGATCTATCCTTGTTTATTCAGAAATCCCATTGATTTTAGTAGATCTTACTCTCAAGTAAATCTACACAGGATAACAGCCCAAGGGGTGTAATTCTGATATCTACATACTCCCTTCAACTTTTATAGAACATAGTAAAACTGCAGGTGTACTCCTCAGGCACATTTAGACTTGTACTCACTACACTGAACTGTACATGAGTGCGGCCTTGCTAGATCCAGGTTCAAATGACTTTAAGATGCCATGGTAGGAAATGTCTCCTACCTGGAGAAGAAGAGTTGGATTTATACCCCGCGCTTCACTACCAAAAGAAATCTCAGAGTGGCTTACAATTGCCTTCCCTTCCTCTCCCCACAACAGACCCTCTGTGAGGTAGGTGGGGCTAAGAGAGCTCTGAGAGAACTGTGACTGACCCAAGGTCATCCAGCTTGTTGCACATGGAGAAGTGGGGAATCAAACCCAGTTCTCCAGTTAAGAGTCTGGTACTCTTAACCACTAGCCTAAACTGGTACAAATTAAATTCTGAAGTGTAAACATGTATTCCTGTCCTGTCTACACCTCGTCCTCTTAAGGACAGACACAAGCTTAGGCTCTGGTTCTCTCTAAAAAATGCTTTGTTGCACACACTTGACATCATGGGATGCCAGGTACAAGCTATGGATAAGATGCAAAGTTGTTTGAAAAATCAGAATGTAGTGAGCAACTACAGATATATCTCAGTCAAAGCAAGACTCCTTGTGTGCTGTTTCAGGCATTTTCTGAGTGAAGCCCAAAGTGAACTCTTAGACACTGAGGCTCCCATTTTGGGCTTGTAACGAGCCTAGCTATACGTTTTCTTCATGCAAGTGACCAGTTTAGACCTTCTCTGGACTGTTAAGCATGTGTCTCAACAGCTTGCATAATCTGCACTATACTGATAAATGCCTATTGGCACGAGAATTGCAAGCAAATGCCTGAAAAGCCGGTACACGTTGGTTTCCAGCATGTAATGAACTGGTCACATACAAACACTGGGTTGGATCCAGACTAAATTTTCCACTGACAGAAGGGGTGGGCTAATTTCTAACAACTTCTTCCTGCTGCAGACCCCCAATCTGCCTCCCATGCTGTTCCTGAGGATCCTCTGTTCCCCAGTCGCAGCATTTCAAGGATATCAGTGGGCTGCAGTGGGAGGGGGAGAAGGCAGGAACATTAATTTCCACTGACAAAAGTGCCTCGCACGAGTAGAAAATGCAGCCTCGATCCAACCCATTCAGAATGGCATCTGCAGAAACATTCCAGAATCTGAATCCAGCCCATAGCAGTAAATATTTATGACTACCATGGGCTGAGAGTCAAAACGGGCAGGCTTGTCTTTTCGATCTGGCATTCATAGGCATGCAAGTAGACCCAAAGAGATGCACTTTTAGCAAAGAGATTGGTAGCATAGGTGGCAAATAGCAAGAGGAGGCATGTCTCTTACAAATGTGCATCTTCGCTGCCTGTCTTGATGGTGGCTTCTGGAGTCCCAGAGGAAACTGTAGGATGCACCTGGGAGTTTTTGAGAAAGGAAAGAATTCTATTTTCTTCAGGAGAACACCTTTGGTGAGCATGGGAAGCCAAGCATGCAGCCCAGCACCCTTGTAAACAGGATGTGCTGGAGAGAAACAGTGCTGAGTGCAGCCGTTCATGTATTTAGAGGGAAAATCCAGTCCAGTTTGGGGGAGGGGGGTCAGTTACCTGATTGGAATTACCTCTCAGACTCTCTATTTCTGCTTAACTTTGTGGACAAGATCAAAGTCTTTCTGCCTTTTCCCTCTCCTAAGTAAAAAAATCCCATGGGTATGGTTGCCACATTACATTCTCAGTGCAATAACGTTTTTTTGGGGGGAGACCCAACACCACTAAGCCCCTCCCCCTGACAGTCCTTTCTCTTTTTGCACTGCGTCTTACCTATCTGTGCAACTGTAGCTTAGAGTTAAACTCATCCCCCAAATTCTCCCCTCCCCTAGCACAGAGTTGAGCTGTGGACTTTTCCCAACCATGATGGTCTATGGCGTTTCAAACATGGTAAACCTGCTTAGAATTAAGTGGTGATGGAGCTTCAGTTTCTTCAGAGAAAATAGTGGGCCAGTGAAGAATGAGGCATTGTGCTTGTCCATCCTGGTATAATCTGCTGCAGCAGATACTGAGATAAAACACCAAGTATGCAGTCACACCAGACTTATTCACAACAGTGCAGGCAAGAGAAGCCAGGTCTATGGTCCTTCACATGATGGGAAGAGTGCCTTCGGAATCCTTCATTAAACCAAGTAAGCATACAAAAGTAACAAAAAACCCCACTTCCAATGCTGATCTTTCTCTTTCTTGGTAACTAAATACATCAAGCTCTGTATTACACATTCACTTTGGCCAGAAGTTCTTACATTACCAGCGAATTTACTTTCCTTCTAAGTTGAGGCACATGTCCAATATCCTGTTGAAAAGCCTTTGTGCACCTTTGTCCTTATGGCTTCTAATGATCTCCATGATTTTTAGACAGCAGGTGTGATTCACCCTTTGGCCTTTGAATCCAGCCACTGATGCAATTCTCAAGAATGGTGGAGGGGATGGGGAGGAAAAGAGGCAACAAAAGGGAGACCAGAGATGAAGGAATTGATGGGATGTGCAGGGATGAAACAAGCTGCTGGCAAAGTAGGGGTGGGGAGAAGAGTTGCAGGCTGGAAAGGAAGGGGAGAACCTGTAGAAAGTAGAACAAAGTTAGAGTCCAGTGGCACCTTTAAGATCAACAAAGTTATATTCAAGGTATAAGCTTTCATGTACAAGCATACTTCATTAGAAGTGCACATGAAAGCTTATTCCTTGAATGAAACTTTGTTGGTCTTAAAGGTGCCACTGGACTCTAACTTTGTCTGCTGCTTCAGACCAACAGACCAACTGAATCTGTAGAAAGTAGAATGGGAAGGTTATAAAGTACACACATACACAACTCTGTGCCATGGGCAGCACAGTGCACAAATAAATGATACCTATGGGGGGAGAGTGGGGTCCAGTTGCCACTGATGACTGTTGGGGAAACTGTTAATGACTGTTTTTGCCACACCAGACAGTTGGAAACTAAGGGAGAATATTTCCAGGTGGCTTTTTCCTGCCCCCAAAGTGGCTTTGTTGTTGTTGTTAGCCATTCAGTTGTGTCCCACTCTTGGCGATTCTATGAGCCAGCTCTCTCCATGTTTTCTGATCTTGAACTGTTTCTTTGAGTCATTCCATGCTCAGGCTGGTGTCGACTTTTATGGTGTTTTTTATGGTTTTAGTGTTCAAATTAATTTTCCTTTTCTACTCCACTGGGCTTCCATGCCCAAGCACAATCAAATTATTTTGCATCCCTCTCCTGTTTGCGTCTTGCAGCGGCCCAGTGGAGAAAGGCAGGAAAAGGGGGGAGGTGCAGGGAAAGGAGGGGGAGGAGTCCATCCTTTCTTGGGGACTGCACATCTAAGGGATGACAATAACCCTCTGCTAGGAAATTGGGAAGGAAGAAATCTGTAATCCTCAAAACTCTGGGTTTTGCCCACATGCAGCAAAGTTCAAAATGCAAGACCTGTGTGAGGATGGGGAAAGCTGGCCGCTAGAACAACCCTTTCCCACCTACCCATGTCTCACTCAGTGTCATAAAGCAGTCCCCAGCCCCTACCCACGATGGCATACTGTTCTAGGTGCTGCGATAGGTCTTGATGATGTCCTTGATGGCACGTCTGCAGATAGGACAACAGGCATTGGCCATCTTTTTGAGTTTGAGCCCGCATGTGTAGCAGAGACACATATGTCCACAGGAGTAAATCACGGTGTCCACCATGTTCTCATAGCAGATGGTGCACTCGTCATTCCAGGACCCTGAGATGGAAGGGGAAAGAGGAGATTCTGGCATGCTGACTGGAGAGTTGGGAGCAGTGCCTGAAATATAAGAAGAGAAGAAGAGGAAATTGGATTTATACCCTGCCCTTCACTACCCAAAGGAATCTCAGAGTGGCTTACAATCTCCTTTCCCTTCCCCTCCCCACAACAGACACCCTCTGAGGTAGGTGGGATTGAGAGAGCTCTTTTAAGAACCACTTGTGAGAGAACAGCTCTGAAACAACTTGTAAATGACCCAAGGTCACACCAGCAGCTGCATGTGGAGGCGCATGGAGACAAACCCAGATCTCCCAAATTAGAGTCCGCATTTCTAATCACTACACCAAACTGCTGTTATTCTTTTATCAACCCAATCCTGAGATTAAAACTAGGACTCATGGGCCAAGGCACCAGATGCTAGGGATGCACAGCCAAAGGTGGAGATCACCCATCATAACCTTGTTATGGAACTTTATAACAAATCCATCTGATCATTGTCAACAGCAAAGTTCTGGGCTAGATGGATTCTATTAAGGCAAGGTTTGTTTATACCTATCCTGCCCTTCAAAAAACAACAGCACAAACCTGGTTCCTAGGGAGGCTTACACATAAACATTTACTGTACATTCAAAAGCATAGCCCTTAATTTCCTCATCAAACAGCTGCTTTTGCCTTTTTATAAGGCCTCTGTGCAAACTTTTCCTGTAGTTCCCTGTGCGTTATCTCAGATCAGAGCACTCATGTTCCATTGACATTTCCTTGCCAATTTCATGCAGCTTGATGAATTTTGATTTGCTTATTTTGAAAACCATATAAATAAAAATTTTGTTTGCAATTGTGGTTTCAAATTTTGAAAATTATCAAGAGAAACTTCTGGTCCTTACACTCTGTGGGAGCTCACTGACTCTTTCACACAGAGATCTTTTAAAGAAAGGAGACAAATTTACAATGGGTCTCTTCCGGGCTGTAGTATTGAAATTGGAAAGAGGTGCAAAGCTGAATAGTCCTCACTTACCACCAATCGAGCTGCCAAGTGGGCCAGAACCACAAGTACTCAGAATAGGATCAGAAACTCCACTGCAAAGGACAGAGGGTGAGTTTGGAGATGAAGTGGGTGAGCTTGGCACAGATGGGCCCAGTCGCTCAGCCATGACAGTAGAACCTGCACAAGAAAGGAAAACTCTGAGTTTTACTGGAATGGGCCCAGATACGCTTCACAACATGGCTAGTGTCATCGTACTCAAATGGGGAAAGGACATGGCATGATAATCAGAATTCTGATCTGCTGAGATTCAGGTCCCAGGGTTTGGTGGCTGCGTTTACTCCACCTACCACCACTGAATAATAACCAATGTGCCTTCCTCAACATTTGGCTAAGAGGAAGATTATTGCTCCTGAGCAGGGAACCAACTGATCTCCTGAACTTCCTCCTATGAAATTGCCCCCGTGAGGATGAGAGCTGCTACTAGTCATAAGAAGGCTTGTTCCAAAGTTAGAATTGGGAAGTGAAAGCTGATGGTTATTAAGCAAGGATCAAAAGACCACAGTTATTTTAAAAAAATCCCTAGGAATCATAGCTGTATTGTACTTCCAATGAAAACATTAATCAATCACACATTATATTTCTGTTGGCCTACACCCACTTATTTTGGTTTATATGGAGCCTATTACACTTGCTTGAACTTACTTTTAAGGAAACCAAACACAACAGGGCCAAGACTGGCTTCAAGCAGAAAAAAGAAGAACTGGACAGGCAGTGCAAACAACTTTGCATCTCTCTCAGTGGGGAAATGTACAAATTGCCCTTACACTCGGAGATTATCAGATAGGGACTCCTAATCCTTTAGCAGTAGCAGAGAGGAAAAATTTTGGTGTGCCGTGAACTGGTTAGAATCATAGAATCACAGAGTTAGAAAGGGCCATGCAGGGCATCTAGTCCGACCCCCTGTTAAATGCAGGATTAGCCTAGAGCATCCCTGACAAGTGTTTGTCCAGCTGCTGCTTAAAGATTTTTTTGTCACTGCATCACACTGGCTGCTCATATCACTATTGCACTCTGATAAGAAAAGCCACACTAGGTGAAATTCTCCCTTGAATGAATCTCTTGGCTAGCCCAACCTCATCAGATCGCATAAGCTATGCAAGGTCAGCCCTGGTTAGTATTTGGATGGGAGACCACCAAGAAATATCAGGGTCATAAGTAGGGATGTGCAAGGGGAAAAATCAGTATTTTCAGGTATTGCCTTGGAAACCTGAATTCCAATATCAGTATCAGCTCCTTATACCCTATGGGGCCATTTTAGTCAGTGGCAAATCTTCTAGGGTATATTCAGTGGGCTTGGGATGACAGGGTTTGAGGTAGAGGCACCAAATTTGCAGTGTAGCTGCTGGAGCCTCTCCCCAAATGAACCTCCAAGTTTCAAAAATGTTGGACCAGGGGGTCCAATTCTATGGGCACCCAAAGAGAGTGTTCCCATCCTCCATTGTTTCCAATGGTGAGGGAAAAAAGCAAGGCAGGCACACAAGCCCAGCAGATTCTCCCAGAGAGTCTCTGCAGTAGAAAGTGAGGTGTGGGGAGGGGGCATGTTTGCATGGCCACCAGCAGAACTAGTGCAATGTGCCCAGCAGAACCAGTGCCACTCTGGCAGTATCAAAACCTTTTCCCTCGTTTATGAGACTTACCAGTATTCAAGTTATATTCTGGAGTCCGTTCTCCTAAAATAAACTTCGGAACAATGCATCTGCAAGTTTTCAACTTAACTTGTTGCTCTAGCTGGTTTAGCGATATACAGTTTCCTAATTTTGAATTTACAGTTTGGGGACAGAATTTAATAAAATGAGTAATGCTTCCATGTAACACTCCAAATGCCAAGATAATTGAGAACAACGTTCAGAGAAAATGCAGCTGTTACTAATGGGTTGTTACTCAACATCAAATATTGGCTAATCATGGCAGTCCTGTGCTATTTTATCCTGGCAACGGTGCAGTCCAGCTTTTGTAGTTTATGTGTCAACTGATTGCCATCAGTTCAATAATGGGGAAGAAGAGGGAAAGGATAGCCTCTAGCTCAAAAATCAGCAGGGCTGGCAAATTCCAACCAAGCTCACAGCAGTGTGTTTTCCTTTGAAGGCTAGCATTGACCTATGTTAGATAACACCATTTCCATGAATCCTCCCTCCACTACTTCAACTGCAAAGAAACAAAACATAGAAAAGAAAACTGCTCTCATCCTTTCAACTGCCCAATATGGTTTGATTCATGAAATTCTAATGTCAGCAATCAGTAGGGGAGAGAGTTTATTTTAAACTAGGAATCCTTTGTTTCCTTTGGCCAACAGCGAGTCACCTCAGAAGGGTCATATCTCTGTGGTGCATAAAGAAGGTCACAGATTTAGTTCCTGGCATCTCTGACTGCCACCTGGTAGTCCTTCACCTCTGCTCCTTAAGCATATGTAACTGGCCCACATTGACAAGACGTTGGAAGATAGATCCATGTGATAAGATCTTCCCAACATCTTTTTAAACACAATTATAGCTGTGCAGGGATCCCATTCAGACTGGGGTCATGTGGAATTAAGAGATGGGTGGGGTTAGTCCTTCCACCTGTGCAGTTTTGCCAGTCTAAACCAGGATCCCCACTCTGTTATATGCTTTTAAAGAAAAAAAATTGGCAAAACGAGGTACCAGTTTTTTTGTATTTAAAGAGCTAACAAGAGTATGGTTACCTGTTCTTGACTTGTGTGTATGGGTTAAATCCACACTTCTGTATGCCCTGGAGTTTAATAAACTCCTGTAAAAAGGTAAAGGTTCCCTTGCTCGAAAGCCAGTCAAATCCGACTCTAGGGATGCGGTGCTCATCTCCGTTTCAAAGCCAAAGAGCCAGCGCTGTCCAAAGACGTTTCCGTGGTCATGTGGCCGGCATGACTAAACACCAAGGCGCACGGAACGCTGTTACCTTCCCACCCAACTGGTACCTATTTATCTACTTGCAATTTCTTGCTTTCAAACTGCTAGGTTGGCAGGAGCTGGAACTAGAGACGGGAGCTCACTCGGTCATGCGGCACACTCGGGTCTGGAACTGCTGAACTACCAACCTTCCACAGCCTGCAGTTCAGCGTCTTAACCACTTGAGCCACCGCAGCTCCTAATCAACTCCTGTAATGGTGGTTAAAAATGCTGGGAGATTTGTAATCTGTTTGACCATCATATTCTTCCGCCATTCACCCGTGTTTATCTCCCTCAGCTCCCATTGCTCTTTCCTTTTTGTGACATGTCAGCCTGTAAGCTTGTACTCCATGAAGGGACATGCATGTTGACAGTGGTATAGCTATAATAAATCACTAATGATAGTATATAGCAATCTCAACACTGTATCATACTGACAATGGTAGCAGGGCTGAGAAAGATTGTGCCTGATATTCTGCAAGTCACATGCTGCTTGAGGGGGACTAGCATTGCACCAATGCCATGGTGTAATTTCCATTGCAAATGTGCAAGTGATGTCACAATGTCAGGGTAATGCCCTAGGGTTCACCCAATACTTTATGGTTTCAGGTGAATCCTAAGCAGAGTTCAGACTGGCAGTTTGGCCCGGCAAGCAAACGTTTCATTAGTGGTTCAGTAGTGCATTAAAGGGGCGGGTTCACACAGGCACATCTGTCAGGCATCCCCCAGCCGTACTCAAGCCGTCTTGTGCCGCTTCCCTCCCAAGTTTAAAAGCTACCAGGTGAAAGTGGTAGTGAACCGTGTGTAGAGCGGGTTGATTCCAGTTCCCTGAGTGTGAATGCAAGCGCTGCTAAGGCAGGAACAACCTGCAGTAATTGATAATAGACACCGGCTGTTTCCCCCGGCAGGCACCGTTGGGGCATGTGCAATCATGCCCTATCTGATCAAGAGAGAGATCTTAGAGTTGTAGTAGATAACTCACTGAAAATGTCGAGACAGTGTGTGACTGCAATAAAGAAGGCCAATGCTATGCTGGGGATTATTAGGAAGGGTATTGTAAACAGATCAGCCAATATCATAATGCCCCTATATAAATCAATGGTGCGACCTCATCTGGAATACTGTGTGCAATTCTGGTCACCACACCTTAAAAAGGATATTATAGATTTGGAAAAAGTGCAGAAAAGGGCAACTCGAATGATAAAAGGGTTGGAACACTTTCCCTATGAGGAAAGGTTAAGGCGCTTAGGGCTCTTTAGCTTGGAGAAACGACGACTGAGGGGTGACATGATTGAGGTTTATAAGATTATGCATGGGAAAGAGCAGGTAGAGAAAGAGGTACTTTTCTCCCTTTCTCGCAATACAAGAACTCGTGGGCACTCCATGAAATTGCTGAGCGGTCGGGTTAGAACGGATAAAAGGAAGTACTTCTTCACCCAAAGAGTGATTAACACTTGGAATTCACTGCCACAGGAAGTGGTGGCGGCTACAAGCATGGACGGCTTCAAAAGGGAATTAGATAAGCATATGGAGCAGAGGTCCATCAGTGGCTATTAGCCACAAGGTATAGATAGGGACTCTGGGGCAAGTGATGCTCTGTCATCTTGGTGCTTGGGGGGGTCAACAGTGGGATGGCTTCTAATGTCCTGGCCCCACTGGTGGACCTCCTGATGGCACTGGTATTTCTGGCCACTGTGTGATACAGAGTGTTGGACTGGATGGGCCTTTGGCCTGATCCAACATTGGCATCTCTTATGTTCTTATGTTCCTATTTGCCACTGCGCCCATGTGCCCATGCGCATGGGTGCAGCAATCCAGCGTGGAAAGAGCTGCTAACAGCCTGCCAGGGCGTCCTAACAGTGTGAATGCTCCATTGCGCTTCCTCCACAGTATCCTCCCGCTTCAGTCGCTGCGGTGTGAACGGGAACACCGCAACCAAGCCGTTCCGGGTCTGTTCTGGTTTTTCCTTGCCACGACTCCCTAGCGCTTCAAATTGCCAGTCTGAGCTCCCTAGAGTGAGTGTTGCCAACATTGTAACACCACTTTCAGATTTGCACCAGAAATGACATTGCAGAGTCATTGTGATTACCCATTTTGTTGTTTCCCCCTAGTGTCCCCGTAGGTTTCAGGCACTCAGCTGGCAACCTTGTATTGTGATGAACTGATTCATCATATGATACTTTGTCCTCAAAGCAAAACTCCTTTCAAAAATGCAAT